CAGGGCCGGGCGGTGCTCCCGGGGCCCCTCTTGACCCATCCCGCAGCGCAGGGGCCCCGCAGCGCAGCACTGCGTGCGATGCTGACGGGTGCAATGGGCCCTAAAGATCTTAGGCTCCTATTTCAAGCTCCATCCCACCTGCTGCTGGGGCATACACAGCCTCCCTGTACAGCCTGGTCCAGTTCCTCACCACTCTCACAGTAAAGAATGTCTCCCTAATATCTCATGTAAATTTTCCCCTTTCATTTTGTACCCATTCTCCCTTGTCCTATCACCATAGTTCCTGTCCACCTTCCCTGTAGGACCCTTTCAGGTACTGGAACCTGAACATTGCAGAGCCTTGTGAGCTCTCCACACTCAACCTTCTATTTCCCAGGCTGGATGGCCCCAGCTTTCCCAGCCTGTCTTCATAGCAGAGCCCCTGTGGCCTCCTCAGGAGCTGCTCCCACAGTCCCAGCCCCGTCCAGGCCGGCACTGAGGACAGCCAGTGCTGTGGGCAGCCACAGGCGCAGCAGCAGCGCCCGGAACACAACACAGCTCATGGTGGTCCCTCCTGCCACTGCTCCCATGGCAAAAGGTGGCCCTTAAGGAAATAAACATGTGCTGGAAATTCTGTCCCAGGGCAGGCCCTTAGAAGTCTCCACGAGCTGTGTCCTAGTGCAGGGCATGCACATCACCACAGCCCACACTGAGCGGAAAGGTGTGTGCTCAGTGTTCTGCCCTACAGCTGGCTCTTGCTCTAAGTCTCCAATACGAGATTTCTTCAGAAGGCTCTTTCCTTTTCATATCTTTCTTCTTTTCTTCCTCTGAAATAAGAGGCTTTTTTCTTTGCTGGATGGTGGGATTTTATTTTTGTCTTCATCTTTAGTGCAACAGTAGCAGTACATGAGGCCACACTCACACTGGTGAACAAGTCAAGCAATAGTCATTTCTCCAGGCTTATCTAAGACATAGGTAACACCTGGGGTTAGACACTAATGCAGCCAGAACTCACCACCAGGCTCAAGCAGAAAAGAAGATTCCATTTTCCCTTTTGCCTGCATCTCTTTGGTGCTGCTATTGCCTTTCTGAACACTGACAGAGGGACTTGACACACTGATTGCAATAGTTATGCTCAAAACTGTATGAGCAATCCTAATTCTGGCCTCTTTTTTCCTCTTCCAGGTTGCAATGATGTCTGGCCTATCTCTGACAGACTGCGGGAAGAGGGAACGAGATGGGTGGAAAAGCAGTGGAGAATGTGGCCAAGATGTGTTTAGAGGGGCTCCCCAAATTCTGCTGTGTAAAGTACATTCAGGGTGCCCAAAGCTGTCTGTCTTTAAAGAGATTACTCATGTGTGACATCTCAGGGGTAGCTTTTACCCTTGCTGCATCAGTGCAGTCCTTTCCCGTGACAGAGCCCAGCCCAGTCCCTTGCCCCAGCCCACGAGGCTGCCTCTCATGCTGGCCACGCGTGAGCTCCACGGGAACCAGGCAGGAGGGTCTGGGCTCAGCGCTGGCAGCTGTGGTGACAAACAAATGAAGTGCTGGCAGACAAATGCTGGAGCTCTGTCTCTTGAAAAATTCCAGTAAGAAGCGTCTCGCAGGGATGTGCTGCAGCATCACTCACCGGCTGTTTTCCTTTGCCAAAGGCACTCCAGTCTCGAAGGGCTCAGTCCTCAGGATGCCAGTGAATAAATGGCTGATGGTTATCTCCCCCTGTTGGCTGAAGGTCAGCTTCGGTGTGTTAGGTACATCCAGGAAAAGGGATTTCAGGCAGCACGGAGTAGTTCTTGCTCATGTGCAAAATCCTTTAACCCCAAATGTTTAGAGGTTTGTGCCCTTCCTACATACCAGACAGATTCTTGGAAAGCAAATTGTGTATATATTTGTTTTTAACACAATTTGTTTGGCTTTCAATTTATACTGAATATTTTCTTTCTTTTTGCTTATTACCGCCTGAGCTACTGAACTGTTCTGCTTACTATTTTTTATGTGATTCTTTTAGAATTAAATCCCTTAAGGAAATGTGTAACTGTCTAGAAAGAAAGATGGTTTTGCAGTTTCCAGAATGTATTTTCCATTTCCCAGCTGGCATCCAACATCCTGAAATAAGTCAAATTCGAGGGAGAGCTCATCCAGAAGAAAGCAGAGATGGGTACTGCTGGTTTGTAATTAGAGCTGAAAGAAGCAGGCTAAGCAGAAGTCTTGGTGAAAAAGAGAATGAGTAGAGGGAATTACATTGTGCTACTTGTGTGAAAGGCAGACACTTCATAGAGAGAATTTCAATATTGCTCCTCACCATATCTCAGCCTTCAGAAAAAGCAGTTTTGCTGTGGAAAAAGCTGAGCTAAGTATTGCTCTCCCTGCAATCTCCTCAGGTCTGTGTTCCACAGCACTGTCACACAGAAGAGATCACAGCAAGCCAGAGAGAATCCAGTGCAGTGCAAGACCCTTTTCTGGTTGTGCCCTTCTTTTCATCTATTTTCCCTATAAAGACAGATGAAAGGCAATAGCAGTGACAAGCAGATGGCACCCACACCATCCATTGGTCTGCAGGAGAATCAGGTTGATCCAGGGGTTTGAAGTACAACCCTTTGAATCAAATTGCTTCTAATCCTGGCTTCCATATGACTGCTGTACGTGAAGCTCAGATGAACTAAATCTTGTGCTGTTCTTGTAAGGAAGTGAGAGATCTTTAGAGGAAGGGAGTAAAACTGTTCATAACTACCTAGAGATGGGTAAAATAACACAGCAACCTGGTTTTATTCCAACTGAATGAATATGTGAGATTTAGAAAGAAAATATGGGAAACCTCTTTAGAATATTTACTAAAGAATTTTAGGTCAGTCCATTCAATTGAGTCTAAAATCCACAAGTGGATGTACAGAGTGGGTAAGACACACAGTAATCTATGCATAGTCAAAGTTGGAACTAGTTGGGGCAGCTTATTAAAAAGATAGTGAAGATATTTTGACATTGTTATATTTCAGTAGCAAACTGAAAAAAGAGTTTGTAAAATTCAGATTGGGCAATTTGTAATAAGAAGAATCAAGTGGTTACATTCTCTTATGTCTTGTGCCACAGAAGCAAAGCTGCAGAAATTAAGTGAGCTGTAAACTGAGAACATGGCAGACTGGATACTTCAGTAAGAACATGACTGAATATTTCATTTTGACACCACATGGTCTGAGATACAATCTTTACTTCTGTAAATTATTTTTTTTGTAATACAGTATCCTCAGTGCTACCATGTCATCTTCAAGAATATGAATGTAAGCTTTGCTTTTTATTGTATATTGCTTATAATCACTATACAAAATCCCTTATGTCAAAGTAAGAAAATTCATAACTGCCAGAGGAAAATGCATTTCTTCCTGACACAAGGGTATGGCAATGAGTCTGTGCTGTGTGAGTCTGTATCACAAAAGACACTGAAAGTCAAGTTCCTTACCCATGCTAAGGCTCCACTAAGAAATAACATTCCCTAGGTTTCTCATACCTGGAACATGTGTTACCTCAGACTGGTGTTTATTAATTGATCTGCTGGCAATTCAAGATGCTGTCATAATTTTTCCTCTAAAAGGAACTCAGGAAATAAAAAAAATCAGTTTCAATCTATTCTTACAAGAGCTTCTATTTAAACAGAAGTACAGAACTTTAACACCCCTCTAAATGTCCCTCCCTAGCATTCAGGAAACTTAGTAAATCAGATGATAATGCTGCTTTGTGAGTATCTAGAGATAGTGCATGAACTGTTCTGAGGTTCAGATTGGATAAATGAAGAGGCTCAAGTATCATGGAAGCCACTTTTCAAAACTCATTTCTTGGGCTCAGTACATTTTATTCTCCAGGTGAAGGAAAGGTGTTCAAGATGATTTTTATTTGTGAGAAAGTGCTTGTGTACAGAATCCTGTAGAAACTGTTTGGGAGAACAGCCTTGCTATGAGGAGTTTATTAGTACCAAAAGCAAAATTCAGTAAACATGCTTACTTCCAATTACATCATCTAATAGAGGAATAGAATGATGAACTTTTGCTAATCTGAAACCAGGCACCTATTTTCAGGTTGCAGGACTGTTTGGTCTCCTGTACCATTAGGGAGCTTGAAAAATTTCCTTTTCTAGTTACTCAGCAGAGTCTAAGTGAGTGCAAAGCCTTTTCCCAGAGATGTCAGGAAGAAGAAGGACTCTTTTGTGCTGATGGCAGATTAACTGAACTCTGAGTTGTGAGCCTGAGGTCTTCATTTCAGGAAGTTCAACAAGTGACTGGGGAACCTCAAGCTACACTGCCCAGCTTTTAGAGCAGTCTGTGAAGTATCAGGCTTAACAGCCCTGGAGTTCACATCTGGTTTGGTTCAGGCTGTGGTTGTTACTGACATGCTTGTTTTAAATGGATGGCATCTGTTGCCTTCTTTCCTCAACACTGCTGGAAAGGGAGAGGGGAGGCACAGTTCAGCTTTCTTACCTCAGGATTTTTTGCAAGCTCAGACACTACTGCCCTCTGGGAACAAGTGTTTTCCTTCTCAGGAGGGTAGTGCTCACCTGCCATCTGCTCATATGTGCTCTGGAGACACAAATCGCTTGCTTTCCTCACTCACTGCCGAAGAAAGCTTCATTTGGCAAGTTCCACTATGGGCATTTCTCACAGCTGCAGGGAAGAAGGTGATGGGGAGGTGGAATGCTGAGCACCACTGCTGGGTGCATTCCAGCTGCACAGAGCCCAGAGCTCCATCCCCTCAGAGAGCGACAGCAGCAGGGAACACACGGCATACATCCACAGGAAAGAAATTTGGGGGCTAAGTGACAGTTGGCATTCATGAACAATCATGAAGTAACACCCTCCAGCATTAGGCACTGCAATTCCCTGGTGCATAGGGAAAGTATGTGTGGTGTTAAAACTCCTTTTAACTGCTGATTGCTATTAACTGCTTCTAATTTGATGACAGCTCATCCCTACCTGACAGCCCTCAGTCATCCACAGAAACCTCCACAACAGGACAAGCCACTTCCCATGTTTGTTTTCTGGAGACCCAGGGTTGGCTTGCAGCAACTTGTACTTGGAGCTCAGTCATTGTGACCCAAAGGACAGAGAGGTGTTGGAGGTATCCTCAGGACTTCTTAATATATTGCACTGGTTGAGGCTTTTACCAAGATAACCCCCAACTCCTGAAGCTAATGACCATCCAAAACTATACCCCTCCTTCCTACAAACTGTCAGCAGTGTGAGCTAGGAGCATTGTATCCTCTGTCTGAGAACATGGTCCTCAAGTCAGCACTGGGTAAGAGTCCCACAGACCTGCATATGAGGAATAATCAGAAATCTGGAGAGAAATCTGCTGTGGGAGCAGACACCTCCAATCTTTCTGACTAAATATTGTCAAACACACTTCTACTGGAGGTGGGAAGCCCCCAGCTCTACAAGGAAAGATCTTCATCTTGCAGCCTGAAATAGGAGGGGTGCCTGAGCAAGCCAATCTCCCCCAATCCCTGGACCCTGGCTGAGAGAGGCAGTTTTCCTGGCACCCATCATTGCAGCTCTCTCCACAAAAAGGGGCTGTGCTTCCTTCCTGTGGTGCAGGCAGGGAGGCTGCAAGAGATGGAGTGTCTCTTCTGTCACCTCTTTGACTACTAGAATTAGATCTTCCCTTCACAGCTATTGTAGCTTGCAGGAGGCTGGATTGAGTGGCTCCTGCAGATGGCATCTGCATCCTAGGGATGGAGTGAAATCTAGGCTAGAGCACATCAGTGCATTAGAGAGACATCAAAGGAACTTAGACAGCTCTGAACCTTAATTCTGTCACTCTGTTCAGCATCCCACTGGGATCACCCATCTGCAGCTCTTTAGCAGAAGAGGGGATGCTCCACTCCTGCTGTCCTGGCTTCTTCTGCACAGACACTCTGAACTTGTTTTAAATTTACACTCTCTGTTACTCACTTCCAAGTGCAATTAGCATCTTCCAGCTCCTCTTCATCCCTGCATTGCTACTAGAGATTTCTGCACCCCTTTATCCACAGCAGAGACAGAAACACTTGTTATTGCTGGTTTTACAGTCCTCACCCTCTGAAAGTTTCACCTCCACGTGGCCTGTCCAAGGAAATTGCTGTCCTGAGCAGCTCCCTTGGCACATGGGGTTGGCTGGCTCCAACCTGTAGAGCAACATCTCTCACCTGTAGAACCAGGCAGAGCATCCAGCCCTGGTGCCCAAGCCAAGGTAGAGGGGAGAGCAGAGCAGGAGTAACCTGGCATCTCCCACACTCACAGCCCCACTTGTTCTTATGGGCAATTCCATTTCCTTATTAATAGCCCCCCACCATCCCACTCATCAATGTTGTGCAGAAGGCTGTTGCTGGGAAGTACAGGGGATGTAGGAATTGAGATTGTTAGGTCTAAAGCAAATACACATGGAAGAGGAGAAAGAGGAAGAGGAGGATGAGGAGAGAGTAGAGGAGCAAGTATTTGAGCCAAGCTGAGCAGGATGATGCAGCGTTCAGAAGGAGGGACAGCAACAGCAGGAAGTGGCATTTACTGGAAGCATTCTTAAAATCAGTTGGGGAGCAGCTGTGTTGATTTTAATCCAAATGGACTAAAGTGGCTCCAGAAGAGTCAAAAAGCCCTTTGATACCTACCACCCAGGCAATAAAATGTTAATCACAGCTGAAAGTCTTTGTTCTCTTAGTAGCAGTATTTTTCTGTTTAGCAGAAATACACTGCTGCCTCCAGTCCCAGACCCCGCTATGGTCCACATATGGACCTTGCACATGGAACAGAGGCTGCTCCTGCTGCAATGGCCTCAGCATCTGAGGGCTGGCAGGGAGCTCAGAGTACCAGTGACCATCAGGAGCAGTGGCATGGTCCTTCTGCTCCCTCAGCACTGCCCTGTGTGTCAGAGACTGCTTGGCACAGGCAGGTTTTCTGAAGATGGGTGATATTGTGGTTCTGGGGGATTTTGGAAATGTGTGAAAGTCTAAGAGAGCTAGCAGGGCAAATTTAAAAAGGAGCAGACTGAGGTTTGAAGGGCAGGTGTGAAATAGATTCTCAGAAGTATTTGGAATGATTAATCAGTAGAGGAA